GAACCGCAGGCACCAGCGAGTGGTGCGCGGACCGAGCACTGGCCAGAAGGGCCAGCTCGTCTCGCTGAGGAGGTTGACGGCATCCTTGAACAGACGGCGCCGCTCTCCCTCGGAATTCACCTTGATGCTGAGCACCCGGGCGTCTAAGTCCCCGTCGCCTCCGAGCTCGTCACGCTTCACCACTCTCACGACATGCGCCTCCGAGCCCATCAGCACGAGCCCGAAGCCACCTGCGACTGCGTACCCGTCGGTCGCGCCGCCGAGAAACTCCGTGCGCGCTGTGTCCGAGCCCGTCGTGGCGAGGATCTCCCAGCAGTGCCCGTCGGGTGGCGTCGGCAGGGCCCCCTCCGAGACCTCCATGTTAGTCGGAACCTTCGCTGCTCCATCCCCTGACGGCGTTCCCGATGCTGGCAACGGCTGCTTCCCACGGAGCCGCCGGCTCGGGTGACCGTTGGAGAGAACCTCGGGGCGGCAGAACTACAAGGCTGCTACGTAGTCGAGCGGCGTCGGCTCCCAGTCGGCGCCGTGCACCGAGTGTCTCCTCCGTAACTTCTGGCCTTCGGACGTGGAGTCGATGGGCTGGCCCATCTTGTCGAGCACCACCACCCCAGCCAGAGGCCCGACCGCTAGGAGGTGCGGATAGATGTCCCCGTCTGGAGTGAGACAATAGAAGCACTTCGTCACTAGAGCTGGAGGTACTGGGTCGCCGACGACGTCGGTGTACTCCCCGGGCGGGCACTCGCAGATGATGATTCTCACTTGCCAGTCCCGTCCGGCCTGCCACAGGACGCCGACACGTTGACCAGCCTCCATAGCCCACGGCACAGCAGCAGCACCCCGCAGCAGCTCCGATCAGGAAGCAGAGGGCGCACAGCCCTACGAGGAAGCCCCGCAAGCTGCCCGTGAGCTCCGAGAGGAGGAGGCACCCACCCGCGTCCTCGTGCCCTGGTATCAGCACCTGGACTGCATGAGGCAACTGACTGAGGGCGAATGGCAAGGCTTTGGCACGAAGGAAAGAGATGACCCCCATGCGCCGCCCTCTGAATTAGACTTGAGCCGCAACACCAGCGGCCGACAAGTACGCACGCCCAGCAATGTACTTCGGAGAAGCTCGCTCGGAGGATGAGGAGGATGAGGATAAGGATGATGATGATGATCATGATGATGATGATGATGATGATGATGATGATGATGATGAGAGATGATGAGAGAGGAGGGAGGAGGAGGAGGAGGAGGAGGAGGAGGAGGAGGGGGAAGAGGAGGAAGGGAGAAGGAGGAGGAGGAGGAGGAGGAGGAAGGGAGGGAAGGAAAGAGGGGGGAGGGAAAGTGAACGAGGGGGCGGAGGAGGAAGAGGAGAAAGGGGGAGGATGAGGCGGAGGACGAGAAGGAGCGGGAGCAAGGGAGGGGGAACAGGAGGAAGAGGAGGATGATGAGGAGGAGGAGGACGAGGAGGAGGGGGAGGAGGAGGAGGAGGAGGAGGAGGAGGAGGAGGACGAGGATGAGAGGAGGATGACTAGGAGGCAAAGGAGGAAGATGGGTGAGGAGGAGGAGGAAGAGGAGGAGGAGTAGGAGGATGAGGACGAGGAGGAAGAGGGCAGGCGAATGACACGGATGAAGAGAACAGGAAACAGGAGCGGCAAGAAAATCTTAAATACGAGGAAAGTGAAAGAAATCGACGCATGAATAACACGGCGTGATGAAACAAACGGGACATTAGTAGAGAGGATAAATACGAACTATTCGATAGAACCCACGCGACGTCATGTCACGTCCTCCTTTTGATCTCACTGCCTGGCCACCTTTCAACTCAGAGCTGTGTGAGTCTTCTGCTTTCTTCCGAAAGCCTCGAAAGCGGATTCCCTCAAGCCTCTGGCCACCTCCATCGGCTTCTGGGCCCTAGACCTCGCACGTCGACTGTTTTTCAGCCCCAACGTTTCGCCTTTCGTTTGGTTTCTGGAGGCCGTTTATGAACCCACGATCGGAAATATGCGAGCGGAGGAGGTGACAACACAATACTCCAACGAGTAAACTGCATCTAATTGGTTTCTGCCCCCGAGAGCGGCGTTATATGGTATTCCTAACGCAACCTTGTGCCCAGACAAGAATATGAATAGCATATTGTGGGACATATAAATTTCTGGGAAATGGCGACAAACGGCAGTTGCGGCTGGCGTCCAAGTGGTGGCGGTGCTCACCTTTCTGTAATGTTACAAATGTGTTTCCCTAGCCAAGCCCAATCTGGCAGAAGTGGCCGGGGAGGGCGGCACTTCCAAAACACGTGAAGTAACAATAACACGCGCGAGGTACATAGCAACGGGTTCGGGGTTGTATTGCCTCGCTTGCTCGCTCGCTAGGCCATGCATCCCAAGGAACGCGCTGAAATAGAAAACCGATGAGTGGCCCAAGCTGATCTCTGTTCCGGCGCGCAGACATGACAGAGCTTCGGCACTTACATCTTCGAGTGCGCCGTGGGACCGAGCCAAGCTTTGTGCATATGTGGTGAGTGCGCCTCGGGCTGACGCTGCAGCACCTGTTGCCTTCGCGACGATCGGTGACCACAACTATTTCCCGGAAGCCTCTTCTGGAAGCGCCGCCGCCAATGACTGAGTTTGGAAGTGTGATTTGCCTTCTCGTTTTTTTTTGACATTGCTCGATCCCGCTGGCGCGTGCACCGGTGCCCTGTACGGTGTTTCGCTACTGTTTCACCCTGTTTCCGCTGGCGCGGGTCATTTGGAATTAATGCAATCGTGTCCGAAAGCTGCTGCTTACACGGGCGGAGGTTGGGGGAATTCGTGTAAGAGGAAGGATGGCTATCGGCAAAGAAATGTGACGTTGACAATCACGACGATGGCGATTGCGTCGCGCAGGCTAGGAAGAATGCTCACGACGGCAACAACCACGCGGCAGAAGGCCCGGACCAACACAGGCACGACCTGATGGATTGCGTCCGCGAGGAAAACCGCCCAACATGATAAACGATAACGGCCACGGCCAGGATCACCGAATTCGAACCGTTGTGCCCCTTGGTCGGCGTAACACCCTCCGTGCAATAGGCTGCTGAGGCTTTGAATTGAACGGACAAGCAACACTTGATTCAATATCCGAACAACCGCTTCGGGAATCCACCGCGACAGCTTCTGTATCCATCGACGAAGCTTTCGGTATCCACTGATGTGAATTGTCGAGACCAGTATCCCACAACAAGAACGGTTTCGGTATCTACAGACATTGGTTGCCGTATCAACTGTCTTCGGTGTCTGTGTCTACCTACTTTAATATTGAATCAAAGAACAGCGGTTTCGGTATCCAGCAACTACGATTTCGATATCCTCGATGGGAGAATTTAAATTCGGCAAAGCCAACTGTTATTCAGAAGCGACCGGCAGAAATGGTAAAACACTGTGTGTCCTCATTTCCTGGAAGATGGAGTCCCCACTCCGACTGCGATGACAACGGCAACGTGCTCCTCTTCGTTTCGATCATCGGAACGTGGGGCCTTGATCAGCGGGACGGTGCCGGCATCGGAAAACAATAAACATACTCATACTGTCAAGCTTTTGTAGCTACGAAGACGACCCTTTACCCAGCGACGACGCATTTCCACTTCCCCAAGGCGATTGCAACGACAATCCCACCAGCCCTCTCGAAGGAGGCGAATTAACGATAGGCTTCTTCCCTCTTCCAAGACCCCTCTTCCCTTCGGGGAGGGATGGGCCCTGAGGTTCTTGGTTGGGCTTCGCGAGCCGCCAGGGCGCCCAAGATGGCCCAAGATGGCTCCGAGCGAGCCCCCGATGCTCCAAAATGGCCCCCAAGATGGCTCAAGTTATCCGAAGATGCTTCAAGGTGGCTTCCGGCATGCCTCCGCGAGGGTCAGGGAGGACAACAAGTCGGCTCCAGTGCTCTCGGAGCCCCGTCAGGGATCCCCCAAGCTACCAGACCAAGACCTCTCCAATACCAATGGAAGATCAAGGGACTGCGGGCTCCCAGAGGGGGCTCCAAGACTCCCCCAAAAGAGCCCTAAGAAGACACCAATACCTTCCAGAATAGCCCGAGGAGGGCCACAAGGGCACCGCGAGAGGTCCCCAAGACAGCCTCCAGAAGATCCCAAGGCGGGTGCCAGAACCTTTGTCGTCGTCGTCCTCCTCCTCCTCCTTCTCCTCCTCCTTCTCGTCTTCGTTCTCTTCCTCCTCTCTCCTCTTTCTCTTCGTCCTCCTTCTGGTCCCCTCCTCGTCCTCGTTGTCTTCGTTCTCCTCCTTGTCCTTCTCCTTGTTCTCGTCCTCGTCCTGGGTCTGATCAGGCTGATCCAGAACTTGGTCCACTACATGCTTCTACACTGTCCTGATCAAGGCAACTTGCCTGGGCATCGTTTCTTGATGGGCTGGTAAGAATACGCGGAGCGTCAATAATCTGACGTACTCTTACTCTTCGCGACACTCATACCCCAACCCCTCTTCTCTCTAAAACTATGCTCTTCATTTTTTTATCCGATTCAATCCGTCTCATACCTTCACAAAATCAGACATGTCCTTATTATATTTACCGTTGTTCCTCCTTTCCTTCGCCATTCCTCCAAGGCCCGCTTCGAGTGAGTTCAGTCCGACTGCTCATTCTGAACGAAATTGAAAGCTGGGCGCTGGAGCTAGAGAGCTGAAAATGGGAATCGGGCGTTGGAAGCGAAGACCAGATACTTTGGAGCTAGAATTGGAATAAAACGAAGCATATCCGGAAACTCGGACTCTGATAATTAGGGTCCGGGTTCGGAATATTGGGGGCCAGACAGACAAATAGGAAGACGAGTAGTTGCAGCCAGAGAGGTCGGAGACGGCACGGGGGAGGCGGGAAACAGGGGCGGATAAGAAAGACTCCCACATTCAGAAAACGAGCTGGAGCGGGAACAAATGACAATAAACTAGGCTACGTGGATTGTGATTCCACCCTCCGCTCGGATGAACGACGGACAGAAAGCGGGCCGCGAATGGCCAGCGGAGCGCGGACCCTTTTTCCCGCCGCAAGCCGCCGTGGAGTCCGCATGCCAGGCTGGCGCCAGCTTGGCAAGCTCGCCGTCTTCAGCAGCCGCCTTCGACCACCGCCTCCTGCTGCTTGGCGAGGGCGCGAGCGCGGAGCGCCTCCAACTCGGCGCTGTAGCGCGACAAGTCCTGCGCCTCCAGCCCGACGTAGGGCGCCTGGCCTCCGTCGCCGAGCGCCCTCCACTCCTCGATCAGCAGCCGCTGCTGCTCCACCGGCCGCCCAGCGAGCTCGGGCCGGCGCTCCAGCAGCGCCGGCCTCCTCTCCAGCGCGAAGAACGCGTAGGCCGTGGCCGCGCGCTTCGGGGCAGGCAGGCCGGAGGGCGTCCGGGAGGGCCTCTTCTGCGGAGCGCCGCCTCCGCCTCCGCCGCCGGCCCTCCTGCGCGCCGCGGCGGGGGCGCGCCCGGCGCCGGGCACCGCCTCTGCCGGGGCCGCGGCGGCGCCCGCGGCGGGGGCGGACGTGCTCGCGGCCGGCGCCGCCGCGGCCGCGGCGGGCGCCGCCGCCCGCGCGGCGGCCGCGCGGCGGGCGGCCCCGGCGGGCGGCCGCAGCCGCAGCGGGCGGGCGCGGGCCGCGGCGAGCGGCCGCGCGTGCGGCCGGCACCGCTGGCGCCGCGGTGGCCGCGGCAGGTGCCGCTGCTGGCGCGGCCGCGCCCGCAGCCGGCGCGGCGGGGGCGGGCTCCGCGGCGGGGGCAGGCGTGGCTGGCGCCGCTGGGGGCGTGGCCGCGGCGGGCGCAGAGGCAGCGGAGGCGCCGCCCGCCGCAGCCTCGGGGCTCTTTGTGGTGGGGGCTGGCGTCGGCGGAGCTCTGGCCTCCCTCCACCCCGCACCCGAGCGTCCGGCGGCTCGAACAGAGAGAATACGGACAAGCTCCAGTATTTTCAGCGCTCGGGGTGCACTTTCGGGCCTGGGGGCAACCGAGGAACGGCTTAGGATAAAACGGCCGCCGCGGGGAAGTGGTCGAGAGGTCCAGGGCCCCCATCTTATACCAACTCGATCCTCTTGATGTTTGGGTTCGCGTGCGCAGGACCTGCATATCCTGCTGTGGGGTCCTTCGTTCTCAGTGCTGCCAGCGCCTGGCAACTGGGAGGCCAGCTCGGAGGCCTACGTCGCCCCGGGGAGGCCCTACCCTGCCCTGCCCAGACCTCAAAGTTGCCTCGGCATGCTGCGACGAACAGTGTGCGAGGGGGTCGCCTGCTCATAAGGAGCAACCGCACTGAGAAGGCCTTGCACACGATGAAGCCTCACCTCTCCTCTATGCTTGTCCTTCGACTGGCGAGACATCGAGGGATGGGCTCGGCCGCTTCGCCCCGTTGAGGGAGTGAGGGGAAAAACATCGTGGTGCAAGATGCGCGAATAGGCTGGATGGCAAAGCCTCTTCAATTATTTGGGTATGGTTGGCCGCTTGGCGGCCCCTCACGCAGGACACCACCATCGACTGACTTGGTAGTGGTGCGTATCGATTCTTGCATGCGTGGATGCTGGCAAGGAACTGATGTGGATGAAGGATAGCGAGGCTCGGACCTCGAGCCTCGAACCTGGATCCTCGGATCCGATCCTTGAACTTCGACGCTGGATCCTCCAACCTCGCTCCTCGATCTACATGTCTCGATCATCGATCCACGACCCTCGACCCTTGAAACTCGATCCACCGATCTCGATCCTCGATGCACGAACGTCGATCCAATAATCTCGGAACTCGATCCTCGAACCTCGATCCGTGATTCTTGATCCTCGAACCCCAACCCTCAATTCCGAACCTCGATCCTCCAACTTCGCCCTGCGATCCACGCCTCTCGATCCTCGAATCTCGACCTCCTCCTCATCCGACGATCTGATTTTTCTTCCGTCCGCGGATGGTGACCTCCCGACCGCTTCCTAGAAGGAACGATAAAACGCCATACACATAAACTTTTAGCGCTCCGCGCGGATTGCTTGGATCCGCGAAGGACCAAAACATCGAAGAAATCCGCGCGGATCGCCAAAACTTCATGTTTATGGCGTTCTTGCTCCGTCGACTCCCTGGGGACAATCTTCCGTCCCAGATGCACTTCCCGTACGGCCACAGGAAAAACGCTGAGCAAGCAGCGAGAACTGGCTTCTCCGGCCGCGGCGAGCCTCGGCCACGCATAGGTTCCCCGATCCAGACCTGAGGAACGGCCCGAAAACCAGAGCCCCTCCTGAACTGAAAGTTAGGTCGGGCATGTCCCCCCTGCAGGCGGGTTTTGGACGACAAATCCAGAACAGTCAAAGCATACGCAAACATGGCAAAACATAGTGGACACATCGTCCCCAGACTATTTTTGGATCATTTTTGAGTATCCCTCTTGCAGAAGGACATGCCCGGCTTAAAAATAAGGAGCGGCCCATAGAAAACGAGAGCCCCTCCTGAACCGAAAGCGGTGCTGATGTATGACATTCGGTGGTCCTGTGACTCGTCAGCTGAGCTGCCGTGATGCGCAACACGTAGCGTGTTGGCACGGAGCTCAGCACGTATCCTGACAACGTAGGCCTGACGCGATGCGTTCGTTAAAGCGTGGGCAAATACGCTAAGCCAACACGCAACCTATTGACACGGGCGTTTTACGGTGTATGTTGCGTCTTAAAACGTGCGTATCGAGGCAGCTGAGCTCGAGAGCGGCCCCTGGAGGCCGAAATCGTGGAACAACACAATGATCGGGGACTTGTGCGATCTTGTCGTGGCGAGGGAGCTGGTGGCGTCGACCGCTTCCTGCGGGCAAGCTTTCTACCCTGAGTCGTCTTTGACGGCCATGTCGCCGGCAGACATCCTCGAGGCCGAAAAATACGTTTGGCGTCGCACATAAAGCGTGCAATGCGGCGCCGCCAGCCCGCGTCTTACACGCTATCGCCCCACGTTGGGGATAGCGCGCGCGGAAGAAGCCCTGACAGGGGGATGGCGTGCACAGGCGGGGCCCTCGCGGGGTGATCGCTGCACAAGGATCGCGTGACTTTCGGAGATCGATGTATCGCGGATTCCAAGTCGATGCATCCCCCCCTTTACCAGTCCCACCCTATCGTTGTCCCTCACTGAAGCGAGAGCAGGGACCTTCAAGTTTGGGCGTGACAAAAAGGTCGCGGCGGCAAGTTTGTCTGCGGCTGGCGTTGCGAAGATGGCGTGCAACATCGCCGATAGATCGGCGCTAGGCCCCCGATAGTGAATCCGCACCCTCCTGGGCAAGTTGGGGCTATCGGGCCCCTATCGGCGATCAATGGGCGATTGGGGGTCGATGCGGCCCCCTCTATGCGTATCCCCCCTATCCTTGCCACCGATTCAGGGCTCCGTAAACGGGGACATGAATAAACCAGGGCACTGAATTCGCCGGAAAAACGGGACAGCGGTGTGCTAAGATCTCCGGTAACTGGTTAACAATACTTCTACTTCGCGCGCGCAGGGCTGCCCCTAGGGGTCCCCCGACGAAAAGTACCCCGGGACGGTCCCTGGACGGTCCCGGGACGTTCGGGCCAGAGATGGTTTTCCGTCTGGGCGCCGCCCTCGAGGCGCTCCAGAGAGTCCCAAGAAGGGCCCAGAGGCCTTCAAGAGGCCCCCAAGACAATATACGACGGGTCCGAGGTGCCACAAGATCGCTCCAAGCCGTCCAAGATGGTGCCTAGACGCCCCGAGAGGCCTCCAAGAACCCTCCCAGGAGAGCCTCCAGGGGCAAAAATTGATGATTTTCCGTTGGTTCTCTCATGATTTTGGCTTCTCCGCCTTATCGGCTTACAGGCGCTTCAAAGCGGCCCAAGAGGCCCCCAAGATCCCCCCAACACGGCCCAAGAGGACTCCAAGAGGGCCCCCAAACGGCTCCAGCGGGCTCCAAGATAGCCCCAGAGGCCTCCAAGATGGCCCATGAGGCCCCCAAGACATCCCCAAGAGCGGGCCCAGACGGGGGACCCGAACGGAGATTTCGAGCCCTCGGCCCCGAGAGGTCCCCAGGATGCCCCAAGACGCCCCCAAGAAGCTCCCAAGAGGCCCCAAAAGACCCCCACGAGGCCGCCAAGAGGCCCCAAGAGGCCCTCCCCGATGCCGCAAAGAGGCTCCCAAGAGGCCCCAAAGAGCGCTCGATGGGGACCGGCGGAATGAGCGAAGCGATTCAATAATTACCCAGGACAACTGCAGCCGTGGGTCGACGAGTCATTCTCCATCCTTCGACGGGTCCCGCTGGATGTGGCAAATATCAGGTCGGGCATGTCGTCCCAGAGGCGGGTTTTGGAAGAAAAATTCAACTAGCCAAGACATGTTCAAGTAGAGTCAACAAAATACCTGAACAATCGTCCTCAGACTTTTGGCTGACTACTTGAGAATTTTCCACCTGTAGAGGGACATGCCCGACGTAAGGCAACGACCTGGTTTGCAATGGCCTGTTTTTTTGGGGGGGGTGGGGGCGGGGCCGCAGCCCGAGCTGCCGCCGCAGCCCGAGCCGGCCGCAGCCGCAGCCCGAGCCGCAGTCCGAGCCGCAGCCCGAGCCGCAGCTCGGGCCGCATTCGCAGTCCTGATCCAAGGTCAAACCAAGATGAGTCAGGATCCACCTCCTCCTCCTCCTCCTCCTCCTCCTCCTCCTCCTCTTCCTGATCCGAACGGGGGGGGGGTGACCCTGAGGGGGGCATGAGATCCATCCGTCGGTGCACCGAACTGCCGCGCACGGATGCCCTCCGCATGCCCCACCTATCGGCAACCATCGGGAGCTGCCGGCGGCTGCGGGGCATCTGTTCTGGGCGGTTGGGTGCAAAAGCCGATCGACCTCCCCCCCCCAGGGCACACCTCCCCCTTTTGCGGGATCCCGAATGAGGATGACCTCGGCTGAACATGCATCGGATATCATCGGGCGCCAGGGCCGGGCCAGAGCGTTCCTGAAATCTTCGAGAGCGTTCTGGGGCGCTCCGGAACGAGCTGCAGTCACCGTGCTACCATAAGGAATGATGCATCGGGGAACAAAGGGCTTTTCCAGCAGCGGCGAGCCTCGGCCACGACGAAGTTTCCCGGCATAGGTCTCAGGAATGGCTCCGAAGCGAGAGTCCCTCACGAGACGCGGTTCTCATGAGCAGCGCTTGGACTGCACTCTCATCCCCCGGCCTGCCTGTTGACCGCTCCAAGCCTCCTCGCCGTCCGCCTCCTCGTCCGACGCGGCTGGGAGGGCGCGGCGGGACGCCACTGCGCTGGGCCCCGCGGCATCCTCTCGCTCCTCGCCGTCGTCGGCCTGATGGGGGGAGGCAAGAGGGATGGAGGGAGGGAGGGAGGGGGGGAGGGTGGGGAGGGGGGGAGGGTGGGGAGGGGGGAGGAGGGGGGAGGAGGGAGAAGGGGGGGGAGGGAGAGAGGGAGAAGGGAGGGGGGAGCGCAGGATCCCTGTTGCTTGACGCTTCTGGCCCGTTCTGGACCTCCAGCGTCTTGAGTCACTCGACTGGAGGCTTCTCGCAGCTTTCGGCATCTGGGGCCCTCTCTGGGCTTCTCAGGGCCACCCGAGAGGACCCAGGGTGAAAACCTGGTCCCTGGGAGAGGCCGAGAGCTCCGGGGCTGGTCGTCGGCGACCTGGGGGAGGATCGGGTTGCATCAGGCCAGACTTCTTATGAGAACACGACGATTTCATGACTGCTGGGGGGGATTCGTGCTTCAAGCACATGTCCAGGTGGCCCACGAAGTGGGCAAGGAAGTTCAACGACGAGCGCACCGCCTTACGACGCCAGGGAAGCCAGTGACATGTCAGTGCCGAGAGAAGAAGGCGTACCGAAAACTCCTCCCCCCTCTCACTCTCGGCCGTGCCGCCGAAGGAGCCTCCCCATCTTTCTTCGCCCTCAGGCCTTCAGGTTGCGCACTGTGCCCTCCAATGGAGCGATTCCCTCTCCTCCTCCTCCTGCCTCCTCCTCCTCCTCCTCCTGCCTCCTCCTCCTCCTTCTCCTCCTCCTGCCTCCTCCCATCTCCTTCTCCCTCCTCCTCCCCCTCCCTCCTGCCAGAACTTCCGACGCCTCAAACCACTTGGGCCCAAGCTCGCTTTGCTTGGGCGCGAGGCCTGCCGCTGTACCCGCAAGGGTGCTGGCTTGAGGGCCTCTGGAATTTCTCAGGCAGATCGGCCTGGATGTCCGGAGGTGAAGTGCACGCTTATCGGATCTACTCCCTGCTCTTGGTTTGCATGCGATTTCTGCTACCTGTCAACTTGGCTTCGTCGGAGTTGCTGGAACGATCGGCTGATCTTGCTCCTCCTCATCGTCAGCTCGATGTCCTGTCATCGACAGCGTCTGCGCCTCCCACCTCATGGCTGGGAGCGAGTGCTATCCTGCTCGAGGTCGATGGGAAGTTCTGTCGTATTCCCCGACCTCCGCCTATGGTGCGGCAGCATTCACAGGAGGAGTTGCATTATGTCGGGCGTGGCCCCTACAGGGGGATTTTCGTCGAAAAAGAAAAAGTATCAAAAAATACACCAAAAAGGCAACAACTACTCCAAAAATATTATTTTTGATTATTTCGGGTATATTTTTTAATTTTCGACGAAAATCCCCCTGTAGGGGGACAGGCCCGACTTAAGAGTTGCACCTGGTGACTGGTCTTGGCAAGGAGGTTGCATCCGGGGCTCTTTCCTGCGCGCGCCGACGCCGCCGCGTCCGCCGAAGCCGGCGCCAAGAGCCGTGTCAACCGAGGAGATCACCAGCGACAGAAGATCCAGTACTCCATGAGGAACTTCACCAAGCAGGAGAGGAAGGCCGCAGAGCAGCTGAAGAAGAGGATCAGGTGCAAGTGGAACCAGTCGAACAAGTTGCTTGCTGAAGGTGAAGAAGGAGACGAGGGAGAAGCAGATGAGGGAGGAGAAGGTCCCACTGGCCGTGGAGCGTCCGAGGCTGCCCGTACCGCCGCAGCCACCGCCGCCTGGCAGGTGGACCTACCCCGACCCGAACATGAGCGACCCGTACGCGCAGGTCGTGAAGTGCCCGAGGACGCCTCCGAGGAGCAGCGCCACGAGGAGTTCTTCATCGGCAGTTCGGTTGCCTCCGCCTCCGAACCCGAGGGCACGATGAACGAGCCTGGCTAGGCGTACGAGAAGAATCTCAAAAAGAAAAAGAAGAACAATAATGAGGTGGAGAGGGCTCGTGTTGAGCCTGAGGCTCATGTGGAGCCGCGAGCAGGTGGCATTTTCAAGAAGGTTGATGATGAGACCGAGGAGTTTCTGCCTGCCGTCGCTGCCGGCGAGGAGGAGCTCGTTTCCGAGCGTCGGGAGTATTTCGAGGAGGACTTTGAAAGCCTGGGAGAGGACCTGAAGGAGAAGTTCTGGAGTTTGGGCTATTTCCGACAACGGTCGTCGACTGGATCGTGAAGCTCTGCGTGCTGTTCGTTCTGGCTTTTTCTTCTTTCGGAACGGTCTTATCGGCAAAGGTTTTTGGGCATATTATTCAATGCTCTTCTTCTCCCTTTCGGCTCAAACCCGCTTTTTCAGCCTGCCTGCTAGTCCAGTCTTGAGCCTAGCATGCAGCCGTCC